TCTTCTCTTTGTTTAACAACTTTATCTTCAATTGATTTTCAGATTGAGTTTCATTATTCAATAGATTTTTGTTTCCATTATCTTCAGGTATATCTACATGCTTCTTTAGGAGTTTTTCCATTCTCATATTTTTTTTTCATCTTCATTCATTATGTATTGTTTGTTTTATTCTTCATCTTCGATTAATCAGTTTAGATTCAGATATACAAGTATCATGGAGAAAAATTGATCTAGATCTACAAAATCAATTTATATGAACCTTGCATATTTAAAGTTGGAAATGAATACAACGAGAAAGCTAGTAAAAACAAATTTTATGGAATTATCGTTCCCATTAATGAAATTTTTGTTTCTTTAGGTGTCCAAATCCAACATGCCTTTACCACTTTTAAATTCTATTTTTTTTTCAACCTACCACTTTTCGATTTTTCCATTTTCTCCAACTCTCAAACCAAATCCACTTTCAAAACTTTTTTATCAATTTTCATCTCTGCACCTCTTTTTGTGCAATTTTTTTTTTACAAAGTAACTTAAATCTTAAAAACTGTTTTTAAAACATTTAAAAAATAATAAATTTTTATTATACTATCTTAACCTAAAAAATTAGCATAAAAATAAGTTTTTAATCATTTTTGAGACAGAGAAAAGACATCATATAAAAAAGAAATTTTGATGACATCTTAAAATTTAGATATGAACACTTTTTATAGTATTTCTAAGAAAAAAATTTCAATTTTTTTATATTTTATTTTTAAAACATAATTATAACATACCTATAATTTATTATTTACAAACCAACTAATTTTTTTGAACATTTACAAAAATACTATTTTTTTGTATTTTATATCTTAAAAATTAGCATAAAAAACTAATTTTTTTTTACCAATTTTTGAAATAAAAAAGACATCTATATATACTGACGCAAAACCAGTGCTATAAATAAAAGTTATAAAACTTATTATTGTTGAGTTTGAATAAAAAAAAAGTGAAAACTTGTGTTATCATCATCAACAAAATAATAGAGATGACTTAATATTCTTGAGGTGAATTTGAATAGGATGTATTTATTCTCTATTTTATTTTTTTAAAAGGAAATTTGTTAAGTATAACAAATGTGAGTAATATGTGTAATAGTTTTACATTGTCTATAAATGTGAAAACTTGAGCATTTATAAGTTGGACAGCCCACACATTTATCATCTTAAAATTTTGGATGAATATTTGGTGTGTCTCTCACTTGTGTTGCTCTTGACCCAATTTTCAATCTCCCTTTTGAAAAACTTGGTTCGAGTGAAGGACCAACTCACTTGTATCGAAAGTACTCTCCACCAGTGGTGGTTAGAAGGTGTCCCGTTGAAGAGTGTCAACGACGGTACAAAAGTGATGAACAAGAAACACACAACAGAATGAGTGAAGGGTCAACTCAGTTGAAGCATGCTGGAAGCAGAAGCATTGTGGAGACTTGAGCATTTATAAGTGGGAGAACCCACACACCTATAACATTAAGGTTTTGGGTAAGTATGTGGAAAGTTCCACAATGTTCAATACTCCCTAGTTGAAAAATCTCTCCTAACAACATTTATTAACTATATATTCTTTCTTTAATTTTATCAGTTAAAATTAATAAAATAATTTTTTTTTTATGTTTATTAGCCTAACCATATATTCTTTCTTTAATTTTATCAGTTAAAATTAATAAAATAATTTTTTTTAATGTTTATTAGTCAAAAGTATTTAAAATGTTTAAATAGATTTGGGACTAGGGATGCATTATAAATAATATAAATTAAATATGAAATAATAATATATATGGTGGTGTTACAAATGTTAAACGTTGTATACAAGTGTGACTTGAAAGTCTCATATTACTTATAAAAGTGAAGGTTGAACATTTTATAAGTGAGACTCATACATCTATCATCTTAAGACTTTTGGTGAATATATGGCGTCTCTCACACTCGTGTGTTGCTCTTGGCCTAATGTGGGTGATACTCATGATGATCATACAATGGTGTCAGAGTTGATGATTCAATTAAGGGACCAACTCTTTGTATCGAAAGTCTTCCTGGAAATATGATGGTCAGCGACGTGTTTTGTTGTAGTGCCCGCAATGATAGTACAAGTGTATGTGGGTTAAAGAATTTCTGCTTGAGAATAAGCATAGCAAGAAAACTTGGACCCGTCGGGGCCCGCCCAGACCCGGCCAGAAATTAACGGGGGGAAACCTGATTTGATTGGGTGCGGGTGCAGGGAAAATCCGGTTTATAATTGCGTGTGTAGGTGCGGGGGCGGGGGATGCTACTACCCGCACTCACCCTCACTCTGCCTGGTCTTATGGTATTTACTTTAATACCCATATTTAAATTATTTTATTACACATTTATTCACTTTTGAAGAAGTAATTAAAAATCTTCATTAGTCATTTCTCACCATTCACTCAAATCCTCATCTTTAGAAACAAGTTTATTATTAAAATAGTCAAGTTTTTAATAAAATTATTAATTTTTATTACTATTGAAAAGAAATATTTTGTTTGCAGGTGGAGGCGGGTGCGGGTGCGGGCAAACCCGTTTCTATCGGGGGCGAGTCATTGTGGTAAATTTTCACCCCGATTGAATTTGGGGGCTGGGGCAGGTCTGTAACAGGGGGCGGGTGCGAGACTATCTAAACTCGCCCCTGCCCCGCCTCATTGTCATGCCTACTTGGGAAGGAACATAATGGATGAACTCACACTTAAAGAAAGATTGTTGTGTAGAACTGTGAGTTGGAAGTCTCACATTGTTTAAAAATGTGGAGGTTGAGAACTTTATAAATGAGAGAACTCATGCACCTATTATCTTAAAGTTTTTGATAAATATGTGATATCTCTTTCACTTATATATTACTTTTGATTTAATGTGGATACATCTCATGATAACCCAACATGAACAACTCTATATAAACAGAAAATAAAGATACATATAATAATTCATGATAATAACTAAAGAAAAAGTGGTATTAGTATATGACGGTGTAGTTACTATTTGGCAAAATAGACTAAAATAGCATTATTTTTTTCACTCTAAATATTTTTTTTAAGGATGTGAACCTAGAATTTATATTTTGGTAGTCAATATAAGGCTAGGTATTCTTTTAAATATAATATATAAGATAAAAAATATTTTATAAACTTGTTTAGAAAAATAAAAGTTAAACTATGTAGTACTATTTCTAAAAAATTAATGAAAAGAGACTATTTTAAATACATATGGATTGAAAATTTAAATTCAAGATTAAGATATAAGATAATCAGATTGAATGTTTGACATGTGTAGATATAATGATAATTAAATATATATTTATGATAAAGAATTTGATAGAAATCTTGTGTGACGAATAGAAAATATATTTTCTAAATAAAATTGAGGTAAGTTAATAATGTGTATCTGAAAAGAAAAACTATATTTTAAATATACTTAATTAAACTATATCTAAAACATAATGTTATTATTGAATTTTCCTATATTACTATACATAAAACAACACTTTTATACATTTATTGTATTTATTTTTGGATATGTTACTATAGCTGAAAACAACTATATAAAATCAATAAATATTTCAAAAATCTAATTAATGTTGAATAATCACTTTTTAAGTTGTATGTTAGTGTATATTTTAATGTAGTTCTATCACTACTTGATTTTTTTTAATATAGCTCTATCACTTCATAAATTGTACTGCCCGGTGCTAAATATTTTCATCTATTTCTAATAACTAGGCAGTACACTTTATGTAATACTACAATCATAATACACTTTCTCAATTCATTTTTAATTTAGTGCAATTTTATATCTCTATTTTATTAAAATAAACCATCAATCTCCAAAATTTTGACAGATTCATTTTCTCCTATATTATTTTCCATTTAATAAGATGAATAAAAGGACAAATATTCATTTTGTTATACCAATACACAAAAGGACAAATATTTCTTTATATAAATTGGATAAAAAAATCTTATTAAGATAAATTATGTCTATGAAATGTATTGTTTTTACCATCAATCAAAATATAAATATTAATAAAATATTATTATTATTATAATTTAATTATAATTTTACATCTTAAAAAGATTAATTTTTTATGAGACAGATATTTTTTATATACCAAAAAATATTTTCAAATATAAATATATTTTCAGTGATAATATAGAAAAATTCAAATACTTTATAAATAAAATTATTTGTAATGTATATTATTGATACGAATTTTTTTGTAAATGTGAAAAAGTATATTATTGATACAAATATTTTTATAAACAAAAAAAATTGTTGATACAAATATTTTTATAAAAAAATATATATAAATTAAAAATACATGTACCCGACCAAAATCAGTCCGTAGGCACAAGTTATTTTACTTTAAAAGATCAAATTTTGGTAATTAGATTACTAAATAAAAAGTTGTTATGTATATCTCACCATTTTATATGGATTTCTAAAGTGTATAGTCACATAAACTTTTTATCAAATAAAAGGGCGAGTGATAAAGAGATTGTCAAAATAAAAGGGCAGACACTCGTATTGCAACCATTCATTTCAAAGGTAATGCAAGTTGCAACCATTCATTTCAAAGGTAACTCAACGAATCTTATAAGAAAAGGTAACGCAATGAACATGCTTTTCTCTAGGCGAATTGCAGGCATCTTAAATGGTAGGTTTATACTAAACTGGAGAGTAGAAACTTTTCAAAAGAATACATGGTGTCAATTGTTTAAACAAAAAAAAAAAAATCTGGAACCAATCATTTTTCAACCCCATCAAAAAGTTACTCTGAGCTGCCTTATCCCACTAACAAGTTGGGACGTATATCAATGACGGCAAAACATCATTCTGAATTTAATCAACCACCACCAAATTTTATTATCCCACCGCTAAATGAGGTCTGCTCTGAAGTTAATCATCAACTTATCAAAATCTAACCTATGGTCCAAATTACCAGCTTCAGCTTAAGAGCAATTAGCCTCTGATGTCCTCAGCCATGCACTTCTGTAGTTCATTCTTCAACATGTAGACCCCAGAACTGCATGAAACTGAAACAGAATGGGCAATTCGTCTTTGTAGATTTTTAAAATGCACTGCCATTTTTTCACCCCAATTATAGTTTTCTCTGAAAAGCGCAAAAATATCATGTCAGCAGAAGAAACATTATTTATGTCGGTAAATAACCAACTATAGCTTCTTTGGGTAACAGCTGAACACAGCTGGAGTTCTATTAGTCTCTACTACTACTATAATCAATTGCTGCAATAACTTGGTTGTTTGGATAAAAAATTTGATGGATAAGTGACTAGAATTGATTTTAAGAGAAAAGAATTCTTTAGCTTTTCTGTGAGTAGAAGAGTCGACACTAAGAAGACTTAATTATTTATTTTACATCTTAAGTGATGATCCAAACAAAAATATTGTTTCTAAAACCACTTAAAGAAAGCCATTACCAAAACACAAATCAACCTCTTTTACCCACCACTTTTTTAAAATCAATTATTTTAACATCAATTATATTTTAAAAAAAAAAGAAGCAAATGGACACTAAGGCCTTCACCTGTCATCAATATCGATATCACCCATATTGTCCACCATGTCATCAAAGATGTCTTTAAGATCTCCAAGAACTTCCAGCTCATTTTCCAAGTTTCCTTGCAACTGTGGACGAAAATTTTTGTGTAGATTAAAATTCGGGGGACTAAGAAATATTTAAACTTTATGTCAAAATATGAAATATTTAAACTTTATGTCAAAATATAAAAGTAACATTTAAAATACAGTAGGAATTTTGCCTACAATGCGTTCAAATAAGAATTTCAATGGCATTTAACTTATTATTTTCTTTCTCTGCAGAAGGTCTAACAAATTAAACTATGCATTGCATAGTAAAACTTTCGGATCGAAAACAAATTAAGAGTGAAAACGTTAGGTAAATTTCATAACAGCAGAATGCCAGTGGTACATGAAATATAAAAGTTTAAAAACAAATTAAAATTGCAGGGCGAAAGAAGAGTACAAATGTCTTTGTTTGCAGCACGGAACTTCGAGATTTCCGAAGATGATCCAGTAATGGAGAGGGAAGGCCATAATGGAATATGCTGTGATTGTTGGAGAGCCAAGTACCACGCACCATGTGAGTTGTCCAGTTGGACCCAGGCTTATGCTCAATAGAGTCAACATCAGAACTATCAATGTCTGCAAATGACAGTTAGGACATCTATTTGACAGACAGCACCAGCCCAGCAAACTTACAACAAAGACCCATTAAATTCTGCAAGGGATGTTACTTGAGAATTGAGATACGTATTGATAGAAAGAAATAGGGAATAATGTTACCTAAAGGAATGACATCATACGGGTTGTCTCCTTGAGGTAAGAAACCGTAAAATGTAATAAAATGAGAGCTAGAGAAGTTCCCGTAGCTTAAGCAGCATTGTTCTCCAGATCTGCATGGTCTTGATAGACAAAATTTCAATGAATTTGTTGAAGGATCTACTTTGCCATAGTGCATAATATGTGGGTGCAGCTGTTGTCAGAGCCAAAAGTGAAGTAAGAAAAATAACATATAGAGGTCCCAAACGTTGCCTGGTTATAGTGCAAATTCTCAGGCAACGCGCAAACAAGAAAAATAATGAGGGTACAATCAACCATATTATAAACCAGAAAATCATCTTTAGGTAGTATAAAACAGGCAATTTGAAAGCAAGTAATCAATTGTAAAACACTGTCGCTAGATATCACAAAACAGCTCACTTCAGTACAGAAATTAACAAACAATTTGTAAATTTCATCAGGCATGGTGGGTGTCATCAACTTGCATTTATGATCTTAAATCTAAATATACAGAAAACTAGGTAATGCCAGCCCAGTCCAAGAAGAATATGCTATTCTTGAAAAGGTGATTTAACAGATATTATTTTGAAATTCCATTATCTTTAGCTTCCCTATTGGAAGTGATAAATACACTATTCAAAAACACTTTTACCTAAATATTAGAAATGAAGACAGGGGAGAGAAAAATGAAAGACAGAGGAGGGAGGGGAAGAAAATGAAAGACTGGGGGGAGAGGTAAAAATAATGAGAATTTACATACAACCATAAAGATATCAATGCAAAAAGGAAAATTTACTTACAGAGTGATTAAGAAAGCCAGCAAGAGGGATCAAACATGTCCTCAACTTTCCATCTGAATACATTATCTTCATGCTATTGGAATACCAGAGCTCACAAGCCCATAGAAATTTCTCCCACGTGTACAGCTCTGGAGGAAATATATCAGGAAAACCATTGCACAGAGCAGGAACCAACTCATCATACTGAGCATGCAGATGCTGCCACAAAAAAGAAAGAACACATAAATACCATCGTTAAATGCAGGTAGGGGTGCTCATAGACAGGTTTTTCCAAAATCCAAACCAAATCCATCTTCTATCCATTTATATGGTTTGGATATTAAACCCAACCAGTTTTTTCTATTTGGACCCAGTTCAAAATGGGTTTACAAACAGTTAAGGCATGAAACCAAATTTAAAACTGGCTGATAGCTCCAAAATTTACCCACTTGTGGAAGGTAAAGTTCTTCACTACTTCATGAAAGAGAATAGATAAGAGCGCAGGTGCTGCTAGTTATGGATAAATTATATTTCCATTCCCTAACAGATTAATACATGCTCTATTTTAATGTGAGCAACCCTCTTCGAGGTAGCTTTTATCTCTCTACAGCTCTCGGCATCATGGTAGTTAGTTTTAAACTTCACCAATTTTGGAACTTTACAAGGTGGAACAAATTTTTCAGATACAAACCCAAGATATCATGGGTGATCAAAGCTTTATTTCACCTTCTAAAGTTCCAATTTTCCAAAGTTAACATAACCAAAATTAGCTAAAGATGACATTAATAGAGTATAGAATATAGTAAAGCATAGAAGTTGTAATATGTAAAGACTATGCTGCCCTTCCAAGCACAGTTAGCTCATCTCTTCCAAAGAGAGTTGTAACTAACTAAGTTGAAGGCATTGTTCGAACACACAAGCTTCAACGATTTCTCGTTAATCCAGTGATTCCTGCGAGCCATCTCAATGAAACCGATCGCAGCAATGACGTCGAAAATCCAGCGTATCTCACTTGGGAGCAACAGGACTCGTTGCTGCTCACATGGTTGCTTACTACCTTGTTCAACTCCGTCATTCCTCGCGTGGTTCACTCTGTTCAATTGCACCAAGTTTGGGACGAAATTCACAAGTTCATGTTTGCGCACATCGATGCAAAATCTAAACTCAGATCGGAATTGAAGAACATCACAAATTGTTAGAAATCCGCTTCTAAATATCTAGCTAGGATTCGGTGCATAGTTGATGTTTTGGACTCTATAGATGATCCTGTGTCACATCGTGACCAGTTAGAAGCTATTCTAGATGGACTACATGATGAATATAACACACTTGCATCTATAATTCAACATCGTCCTACTATGTGCTCTAATATTGAAGTTGAGTCTGTGTTACTTTCACACGAATCTAAGCTGGAAAAGGTCAAGAAAACTGCTGTCAGACTGTCACTGAACCTGAGTGTTAATCTCACTCAAGGAAGTGTGCCGGCTTCAGTCAGTCATCCTAATCCAGTTTCTGCTCAAAACTTCAACAAAAATCAGTGGAATGCTCAAAATCCTAATCCTAATCAATGGAATGAGAACCAGTTCTCTGGTGGATCTCAGATTAATGGCAGATATAGAGCTTCACGTGGTGGTCCCCACATGAATCGTGGCAGAGGAGGCCGGTTTTCTGGCGCTTCAGAGTTCAATGTCAGATCTGCTTTAAGCCAGGGCATGATGTGGGCATTTGTTATCACAGACACTCTTCTATGATGCCTGTGATGCCTGCACCTTGGAATGCCTCTTGTGAAGAAACAGAAAGAAAATGTTGTGCTTGAGATGCATTGCTCTCAGCATAAGGCTTAATTTATAATCATTTAGTTACAACTTACAAGGGAGTTCTATACATTTGATAGCTCGCGAGTGAAAGGGGACATCCTTAGAGGAGAGACTTCTCATGCATTCGATACAAGAATTCTATCTCTGTCTTTATTTCTATCTCTCTCCATTGTTTCTATTAATATTCCATTTCAATCTCTCCAGGTTCCTTAACAAGATCAATAACCTAAATACTGAATAAACTAATCAGTGGAGTTTAATAGGTTTACTACATCTCAAAGGAAGCCAGACCTTTCAATCTGAAAATAATAAAAAGGTCAGAACTTGGGCATAACTTACCTCTCTTGCTTGCATTATCTCTTCAAACAGCAAGGTTCCATCTAACATTGTAATCGCTTCAATCCCAAAACTCAATCCTGCAAATTAAATATCAGATATTTGAAAAACGTGTGAAAGAAAATATTATAAATGTCAGTGGATAGTGATTTCATAGGTATATGCTATATACCTTATTGTTACACCATTCTTTACCTCAACCTATCTAATTAGCCTAGGTACCTGGTTAGCCTTGTTCTTGATATATCATTTGTGCACTCAATGGTTGCAATGCAGTCGGACATAGATTTCAGAACACCCCGGGAGATAATGAACAAATAGTTCATAATGTCATTTGATAAGAATGAGCTTGTTAATAACTATAATTTGAGCATATGACAAAGAACATGGCAAACAGTCAGATCAATCCAAGAAAAACTGGCTAATAGACACACGTCATCTGTCGCACAAATCTCAACCTCATCATAGGCTTGTACTTCATGCTCAATTATCACTTAGTTCATCCATTTGGTAGATGGCATATATAATTATATAATTTCTATAGTTAAAATTTACCTTATCAAACAACTAAGACCCACTTTTTTTATATGTTAATCCTTCCTGATCCTTCAGTCTTGATAGACTTTCAATAATCATGAGATAGTCAAGTTGTTTTGTTATAATATCCTTAAAAGTGCATCAATAAACACATGATGTGTGATTGAATAAACCATCAATTAAAACTTGATTGGATCACTTGCATCTCACAATATTTCATCAAGTATAGTGAAACAAGCAAGGCCTGTTTGTCACGAAGTCTCTTTTGCCATGAAGCAAGCAACTTCACAAGGATAATGTCTCTCAACAGAAACCTACAAGTTATGACAAAGTATCCACTTCCTCAAGCTTAACAGTAAAGCCATACCACTCTAGTATGTAAGGCCAAAAAAACCACACTGAAGCATAAAAATTGTACTTCACACAAAACTCTCGCTTCCCCTGACAACTAAAACAGGGAAAAGAAAACCACCAAATTAACCATTTTTCATAGACCATTTAAAAGGACATGAAAAATAAGAAGTATAGTTTATGATTACCACTGGTTTCAAGAGAGGGAAAATAGGCATGCATATGTTAACCATAGAGATCATAAAACAAACAAAATTTACAAGTTAGTTCTTCAAGTATAAAGGTTGTCCTGTGCATCACCATGACTTGCAAGTTGCAATACTAGTGATTCATATAAAATTTGCATCTATGTATATGCATATGCATAAAGCATGCCATAGTCAAGTAAACTAACCTGTATTAAATTTTTCTGGAAGTGTGTCAAAGTAAAATTTGAATTTTGAATCACAATTGTATTTCTCTTTCATACTCCATAGTAGCAATGTTGTCTCAGATGATACGCCATCAACCTCTTTTAAGAGTTGATACTGAATTGGATAAGGAACATTATTAGTTACTAAAAATACAATGGAGCGAACATATGATATTTGTCCTTTTCAATTTATTTTAAGCAGTGCTCTCGAATATCGGCCACGACAAATATCAGTGACAGTTTTTGACCTCGCCACAGTGGTAAATATTGGCCGATATTGCGGGTTTTTCCACCATAATCCACCATGGTGGTGGCACAAAGAGGCCAGTATGACAGTATTTTGGCTCTCCATCATGGACTACCCATCTGCCATCAACAATACTGATTTCTAAAAAAATAATGATTTTAAGAAAATAATGTTGCTTGGGATGTATATGTATATCCATAATAAATCAAAGGGGGTTTTTCAATTATGTTGTAAATCGTCCCAACAAAGAAAGAGTGGTTGCTTCTATTTGGTAAGGATGGATACTTTAAGTTGCATCCTATGGGACATTTTTATTTGTAAAACAGAAGATAAGTGAGATGCAGCATAAAAATGGTATTTATATTCAATTCGACTAAAACAATATAGCACCATTTTAAATAAAATACTTTTTTTGGAAGGCACATACCATATCAGTTTCAAGCACAAGTTCCTCGGAAATGATAAGGGGCACAGGAATTTCTATAGCAATATCTCCAACTTTTAGATCTTCCCCTCCTATCATTCCCCGTCCTGCTCCTTCGACATCTGTGTAGATTAAGGTGAGAAGAAATCTATAATGCACATCTTAAAGATAATACATGAGCAAATGAAAGAAATATGTTCTCAAATGAGAAAGCAATTGAAAGACGCAGAATTTCAATGAAACTTACAGGCTATTTTTAATTGTGTCTTTACTCCATGGCTTTTACCCCACTCGATCAGGTGTTCTTCTTTCTTACAAATGTGGTGCTTTTCAAGTACTACCTTCATATTTTTTGGGTCCCCAATATCAGAAATTAAATCAAGAATTGTTTGACGTAACCCTTGCAGGACATTTGTATGGGAATGTGTACAACTAGAAAGTGATTTATCGGTGACCAAAACAATTGAATTGAGAGCCTCCAACTCATTCCTGGGGCTGTAAAACTCCACTGACACATCGTCTTCAGCAAAATAGAGTTCCAACTGAAGCCCAGTAAAACCAGTTAATTCATGAGTACTACTTAATGTCCCAAAAGAATGAGAGTGCAGTGCATTTCACTTTTCTACTAGTTAAATAGACAAGAAAGATATTTAGATCACATATTATTTGAAGAGTAAAAAGAATTTGTAACAATAAGATGTGAGGGGAATCCAAAGATGACTACAACAAACCCTTAACTAGAGTTTCTCCTTAGAATAATACCGAGTATCTGTCAGAGTCAGAGATAAGAAAAGAAAGTAACCTCATTCAACTGTATGATTCTTGCAATCTGAAGTAAGATCTTTACGGTATCATTCACACTAGGAGGTTCTGAAGTGCGCCAGAGAACTATCCGTTCCTTGGGACTAAACCCCTTACGCTGTAGTAGTTTCTGATAAAACAATCCAGATTAGTCATTACATTAGCAATAGCTTGGCACTTAGCTCAATAAATCATAAACAGTTAAGGGAATCCCCGATAGCTATAAACCAGAGGCAGATATTAGCATAGCTTAGTCATTTTGAAATCATATTGCCTTTAATAACATTGGAGTAATTTGCTTCTCTTAATCGCTTAATTTTTCTCGTATTTGAAACACCTTAATTTGAACAGTTAAAAAAAATTTATATAAACTTTAAAGGAAATTTTATAACGAACACAAATTTGCTATAAGCTATAAAGATTAGAGAGAAAAAAAACTATACTTAAACAACAATAAAAAAAAAACTCAATTATCTTATATTTTTACCTTCTTTTCGTCAAAGAAAGGATCCTTTTCAGATAACTGAAGAACAATTGAGCATTCCTCATCGGTATCCATGACTTCCCCTGCAGTCAACAATTTGAAGTCAGACAATAATCACAAGTCAATAATACAACCATGATAATTCTTGATTCTATATCTTAATGAAGATTTCCTCATTTGTACCTAATAAAGCATGGACACGGAAAACACCTCACCAACGCTGACATGTCAACATCAATAATAATTTGAAAAACTAAACATATTAAACATAATTACAAGTGTCAGTGTCCATAATTACAAGTGTCAGTGTCAGTTTCTGATAATGACACTAACACACCATTTATCCGAGGTGCCGATGCTTCAGAGTTGATCAGTATTCACTATTGCTGATTTATCATTAGCAACTCTAATACAAAATCAAAAATATCATATCTCAATCAAATCATTTTCCACTCCAACATATTCGTGCATATACAAACCCTAGGCAATGGCATTCTAGTACGTAATTAACACACTCACAGAGAATCGAATTGAATTGAATATTCATATATGCGAGAAGTTGAAATACAAATTGAACTTCCGCAATTCTTGTGAAGAACTCAATCGATAGATACAGTATAATGAACGCGCATTCTCTTTGAACGATAGGTTTTTCTCAGAAAGATAAAACGAAGACGAAATGAGGTTAGAATGGAAGAAAAAGAAACTACCACAACACCGTAAGCTTCAAAAGAAGTTGCGGCGGTTACTTCAGTGAAGTTCCAAAGAAAGAAAGTTCACTTCGGCGTTCTATCGGAGCTGAAGCCGCCGGTGAAGAAAGTAGGAAAGAATTTGAACGGCAAAAATGAGTTTGTTCGGAGCTGTGCCCTCACGGCCTCCGAAATCATATGAAGTTAGAAATTTTGATACTTCATTTTAAAAAATATTTTTTTATATTTAAGTTTATTATCTATAATTAGCGTCCAAACAAGTATAACTACTGTCCATTTATTCGTTTTTATTACTGAACTCACGTCAAAATATATAAACCAATAGTTTTTTTAATAGTTTTTTATTAGTTATGATATTAATTTAAATTATTTGTATAATAAATTTTATAAATGAGAAAAGAAAAATATTACATAAATTGTGATAAGTTATGTTGAGAAGTTATTACTATTTGACAAAATAATTTTTTTTATCTTAATTTTAAGTCGAGTTTCAGTTTGATTCCTTAATTTTAAAAAGTGACAAATTGGTCCTCTAACTTTTTAAATGTTGTTACGTTTATCCTTCCGTATGTTGTCATTAGTCAGAGTTTAAAAACAAGTGTCACGTTTGTCCAGGTGGACTTTATGTTGTTGACGCGGACATAAGATGTGTTAAAACAAATCTAAGTGAAACTTGTTTTCCATTATCCAAAATATCAAAGGACTATAGATATATTGGGGTAAACTCACGAAGTTGTGTTAGGGTAAATGCAAGGGATTGAAGTGACGCATTGAGGGCGCAAAGGATTGTTACAGACGCAAAGGATTGAAGACGATTCAAGGAGTGTTTATCAAAAGGTTAGTTCATTTCTTTCTGATTTAGGGCTTATGAATCTCATAGGGCAATATTCAGTTATGTTCAGATTTAGGGTTTATGTAAAAAAAATTAGTGTAAACTCTAATTATTTAGATAATATGATTAGGTATCATGGATGAATACATAAATCTCAAAATTCATCATAGTGGCGAATTCACTGATGAAGATCTTAGTGTATATGAGAATGGAGTAGTAGATGATTTAAGAGTAGATGTAGACAAATAGAGTTATTTTGAGCTAGTTGGTGTATTGAAAGACTTGGGTTATAGGGAGTTTGAAACAATATATTACAAGGACCCCCAATTTAGAATGAATGCACTTGTTGATGACAATGGTGCTTTAGAAATTGCAGATCTTTATAGGATGCACTGGAAGTGTTGATATTTACATTCAACACACCTTGTCTCAACCTGACTACTGTGATGTTGTTGTTGATAATGTTGATGAGGGTCATGTTGAAATTGTAGATGAGGTGGAGGAGTTAATTAGTAAACTGCATGATGAAGTTGTTGGAGTTGAATAAACCATTGTTGTGATAGAGGAAGGTGATGTTGGAGTTGATCAAGTCGTTGCTGGGTTGGAGGAAGGTAATGTTGGAGTTGATCAAGTTAATCCTGCAGTGGATGAACGTGCTGTTGGAGTTGAGGAAATTAATGTTTGAGTTGAACAAGTTAAGTCTGTAGCGGAGGAATGTAATGTTGGAGTTGAACAAGGTAAAATTGGTGTAAATAATGATTACTTAAGTTCTGATGATAGTGAAGATGAGGTCTACAATTATGATAGTGCACAAGAAATGGCTTTTGAGGATGAGTCTGATGGGTATGATGAAATTGATGAGGGTGAACTTGATACCCTAATTGGGTATGAAAGTGATGGTAATGGAAAAGTCGAACAACTTAATGAAAAGTTTGTAGAAGATAAAGGGAGTGACAATGACAGTGAGGACATGCAAATTGGTTGTGATAGTGATGATAGTAGTGGAGTTCCAAGAAAAAAACATCCAATTTCTAGACAGTCAAAAGACATGTCAGATTACAAGTGGGACGTGGTAATGTATTTTAGTTCAAATGGTGATTTTAAGGAAGCAATAACATCTTATGTTGTGCAAAATGGTAGAGACCTAAGATTTATAAAAAATGACAGAGTTCGGGTAACGGTTAGATGTAAAGTTGGTTGTAAGTGGGAGGATTATTGTAGCAAGTTGTCAAATGAAGACACTTGGCAACTCAAGAAAGTAATTGATAAACACAGTTATAGTAGAGAGTATAATGTGAAGTTGATGAGTACAAAGTGGTTGAACAAAAGAATTTAGAATAGCTTGGAAAATAATTTAAGGTTGACCATAAAGGATATCAAGGAGAAGACACAAAAAAGTGGAATGTTAGGGTCAACAAAACCAAAGCTATAAGAGCAAGATTTACAACTAGAGATTATATTGATGGTTCTTTTGGGGGAGATTACACAAGGGTATATGACTACTGTCATGAACTATTAAGAGCCAATTCATGATCAACAACTAAGATCAATGTTAATCCTGTACAAGAAGGTGTTGAGGATTACAGGTCATATTTTAGAAGGCTTTACATATATAATGTTGCGTGTAAGGAAAACTTTAAGTTGTGCAGGCACGTAATACGTCTAGATGGGTGATTTCTCAAGGAGTTATGTGGAGGGAAGATTTTGGCTGCCATAGGGAAGGATCTTAATGACCAGATGCTTCCCGTAACATATACAGTTGTGGAGGGTGAAAACAAGGATAATTGGACTTGATTTTTAGAGTTATTAATTGATGACCTTGGAGGCAAAGTCAATGTCTGACTTGCACCTTCATCTCAGACAGATAAAAGACAAGTTTTTCATTTATTCTTATGCTTTTATATTTTTCTGTTATATAAACAAAGTATGTTATGCTATATTCTTATGCTACATGTTATGCTATTGCAGGGTCTGCTACATACTATGGATGAGTTATTGCCAAGGGTGGAGTGTAACACCCCCTTTCTATACCCCCAAATAATCAAACAAATCATTTATGCACTTAATAAAAATTTCATCAGAGTATAATTTAACACATGGTATAAAAGAGGCACGTCACATTATCCTTGAAATTGAAAACATACAACACCTGCTCATAAAGATATGCAACAATGGGCAACTCAAAACAAAGGAACTTAGTCCTTAAAACCCACGTATCAATATTTAGAATAAAAGCAAAAACATCTAAACATTGAATCACTTCATTCATATAAACAGTATATACATCAACAGTTTAATTCAAGTCATAAGTCATGTTTACAAAACATTCACCAGCAGATACATACACCGATGTATCACAAAAGAATCAAAACAATTCCTAACTACCCGGTGCTACATATCAGAGACAACCGACCAAAAAGAATGAGGCCACGCTTCACAAAAGACCTCCAGCAAACCTACTCTGCAATGCCTCATAGAGCATCATAAAACAGCAGAAGGGTGAGAAACATTATCATAACAAATAATGCATATAATTATATATCAATATACACCAACATAGAATACATATAACATATTTCTCACCGCAACTCATCACAATTCATCACAATGCATATCTACACAACTAAGCATATTCACCAATCATGCTTCACAATTCACAACATTTCCACATAAACATTTATGCTTATGCTTACTTCAATAATTCACATAAACATACACAATTATGTTCATTTCACCAATACATCATATAAAGATGATAAATGCAACTCATAGAGACCGACTCACGACTCTATGCAGATGCAAATGCGGTACCAACTCATTCAGCATGTTCAATTGAAGAACCAAATGGAACAATCGCTCGTTACCGAAGTAACTCCTCGTTGGGCCTACAATTTTCACCCATCGCTCACACCCCACATGGGCACACGATGTTTCAGGATTGCTCACACCCCGCACGTGCACACAATCTGATTGCTCACATCCCACAAGGGCACACAATCGTTCTGCAGATTCTCCATGGAATCAAATATAAACCATCGCTCACACCCCACAAGGGCACACGATCGTTTCTGCAGATCTTCCTAGGGATAAAAAATAAACCATCGCTCACACCTCACAAGGGCACACGAGGTTTCTGCAGACCCTATGCGGGATCAGACACACAAGAATGCAATCATGATGCTTCACATGCAAAACGACTCCATACACTCTTGAAATGCATACATACTCACAAATATATAATCATACATTCTTCACATCATACAAGTACATACAATTATGCACATTCACATCAATCTCATCATGCATTTTCATTCACTTCAAACATATGCACAAAATTGCCAAACGGCCACATTTCACACTCCACGATTCACAATCTAGGATTCACGCCATACAGCTACCCACATCATCTCATATCACAACATACAACTATGCATAATAAGAAAGGATTAATCATACTTGAATTGAAGAATCGACATTGGAGTGAAAACACAAGAAAGCAACATGTTGACACACTCACTACCTTGCTCGCCTAG